CCTGCGTTAGAGCCCTTTTTCGACAATTTCGCGCTCTCCAATGTCGATTTTCGTATTGAGCGTAGCGAATAGGCCCGGGTAAGCACAAATTCTCAAAACTGAATTTTTGCGCGGACACTGCCTTTGAATGCTCTAAAAGCTAATGGAGAGTTGAAGAGCATATGAAGCAGCATGAAGATCTGGCTCGTGAAACAGATACTCTCTCTAGATGTGCTCTTCTTATGAAGAAATATATTCCACTACATCATTTATATTTTTTCCTTTTCTAGAGGACTTTCAAGGCGTTGCATAGCTTGTCCATTTTAAAGCCTCATGAGGCCCTTTAGACCGAATTCCCATAGTTATGCTGAAATTTCAAGAAATTTTGATTTCCCTGTGTCAGGTTTACGAATGCTCCGGGGTTTTTTTGTCATTCCTTCCCCATTTTAGCTCGCATCAGAGGACTAAAATGGGGTACCCAATCCATTAAGAGAGGTATTACGGATTCTTTCGAAGTTAAAGGGTTACTTTTTTCCTCTGAAATAATTGTCCACTTTGTGCAGGGCACGATTGCGACCTACAGCTGATCCTTGTATCTCTTTCCTTTGGGTAAAATCAGAGCTAGATTATAATTTCATGCGATTATGTATTTTGCTGTTATACAAACGATGAAAACATTAAAAGCATTTATTTCATGAAACTTTGCTTCACAGGTAGACTAGTAAGAGATCAGATCAGATGCCGAAGCTTTGCAAAGTCTCACTGTACTTCGCGCACTACTGGCAGTATGAAGGAGATGATAACAGGTAACGAACAGCCATTTGATACAAACAACACCGAATATGGGAATATATAGCGCCTAAAGCCAATAGCGCTTCGTCATTTTTTTACGAAAGAGAAAGCACGACGATAAATGACTAGAAATTCTCGATATGTACATTATGACATCCAGCTTTCTGGTACCCATTGGGTATCGTTTCGTAGTAGCTCCAAAGCATCGGTCAACCTGCAAGAGGAAACGGAAAATGCAGTAGAAAGAAGTCTCGAATATTAAGTTATAAGAATGAATAAATAGAGAAGTGTGGTAAGATTCACCTTTTGAAGGTAACATCCATATTCCGATTCATTAGGGTGAGGTGAATCTGATCCGCATGGGGACCATTAGCGATTTGATCACTTTCGGCACATACCTGAATATTTCGAGAGAATGCAGGTACAATTCCTTAGTTAAGAATAAAATCTCCACGAAAAATATACTTTGAAATCAACTCAAAACCTCACCTTGCTCAGTTGATCGACTGGCCGCTTATTTTGTCGCAAATTTTCTAATTGTAAAAATTCTTCTAGTTGTGGTGGGACGATGTGAACGACAAACGGCATAAATTCTGCATTGTAAAGATGCGAAAGTGCCTGAGGTGCACAGTCCAGCACGCACATCCGTCCACTTCGTACTACATCACGGACGGCGTCCGCATCTGTGCCTAAAATACGAAGGAATGTAGAGCATTCAAAAGATGACAAAGAAATTTTCTTCGAAGACTACATACCATATAACTGGTTGTCAAGTTCTCCCCATTCAATCATTCCGCCATTGCGTATCTTCTTGAGCATCTCTTCTTTGGTCACAAAATGGTATTCGCGACCTTCTTGTTCGCCCGGACGAGGCGCTCGAGAGGTCACTAAAAAAACAAGTTTGAAGAAGCGAGCGCAGAGAAGGACTCCATAACAGTTTTTTTTTCAGGAACTTAGAAGAGGGAGGTCGCATTGCGCACTCCTTCAGTGACTTGGAGTAAAAAATGCTAGCGAGCTATTTCTCATCACATCAGTGTAATTTGGAGCAGAACTCAAGAAGTGGAAAGTGCGGATTCTATACGCAAGAATGCTTTTCTAGCTTCTGAAGAGGGGAAAAATGGGCACAAATCAAAGCAGAAAAAGCGAAAAAGGGAGCAAAACTGACAGTAAAAAGCCATGACCGAAAGAAGAATTATTGTATGAAGCAAATAAATCAAAGAACTCACTAGGAACAACAGTAGCGAAATACTGTGGGGCTGCTCTAAGAAGCATGGACTTCAATGTTCGTCGTCCTACACCTACGGCTCCAAGAAGGACAAGCACTCTTCGACCGAAAGGACATAACATTGCTACCTATAAAAAACAGGCAGAGTACCCTAAATCTATATTAGGAAGTTTTTGGAATTACCTTTTCTTTGGACAAAGACGCTGGCAGGTAACCTACTCTTGATAGATCATTCACTTTTCGGGCCTAAAAAAGCCATTTGCACATATAATCGTTCACATGAAAAGAGTGACATTTTTTCATGTGAAAAATCCAATAGACTTCGAGAAACCATAAAATATAACAAAATCCAGAGAAAGGTAGTTCGCGTTACCTGCAGCCAGTTGTCATCTTGGCTCATAATTTGTACTACATCTCCCTTTTTGACATCTATAGACAGCCATCGACAGATCCTCGTATCATCTGCGTCCGAATTATAATCACTATTGACTCGATAGAACACCTATAACAAAATTCTCGTCTTAATCAGTAAAAAATTCGCCATGAAAAAAAATCAAGGCGTAAAAAATGAAAATTTTTTTAGAAAAAATCTGATTTGGATTAATGATCCTCATACTTACCGATGGAGCTCCATGTATGGCTGCCGGAACGAGTGTGAGGGTTATGCGCCCGCTAAGCCCGGAAATTGCCGACTGATGCAAAGCAGCTTTACCATTGACGTGGGTTATCGTATCACCAGGATGGATATCATGATTCGCGGAAGCATTTACTCGCGTCACTACCAGTTGTCCTGAGATCGTCTCGACTTCGATCTGCAATGAAATCTAATTTTTGAGCTGCCAAGAAGTGAGATCAAAGAACAATGAAATTAAACGATGTAAATATTGGTTGACAGCACTTTTAAAACCCAGAGCACAAAAACTTGACTGGGACAGAAATATCCTATGACTGTTTTAAATATCTTCTGTTATTTGATTGAAGGAGAAAAGATATGAGATAACATTAGCTTAATATAACAGCAAATACCATTACAATTATACAAAATATCTCTTGCCATTTGAAGGAATGAGAACAGATAATGAGAAATCACTGAACAAAAAGAAGCAAGTAAAGGTAAATGTTTAATACATTCCGAAGGTTTATATAAGCAAAAGCATCAATCTCTGTATATTTTCTCAATTTCCCCAGTACCGCTATAGACATTTTCAAAAGCGTAATGGATTGATGGGAAATACAGATTTAGCTGCCGTTTTTACCACAGCAACGATGTCTGCTTTGATTGATGACACCTAAAATGTAAATAGCAAGCTCCAAAAATGTCTTTTTTACACGTCAGCGAATTACCATAAACAATTTGTAGACGAAAAAAAA